AAACATGACGATCCGAGATTGAACCAAGATAGGTTCTAACTTGAGCCTCAAATAAAGTTAGAAAACCTTTATAGGGTTCGGCCTAGGAAAAATTTCCACACGGATAGCAGCATTTATTTTACATTCTTTGTTAGGAAAAGTGAGGAAGAAACGCCAGGGTGTTTCTAGCCACAGCGCATCTCATTTAAGTGTTTCCTTCGTCGCTTCTTGAGGAAACGATGAAGAGGAAAGATGAAGGAAGATGGAGGAGTGTCAAACGATTTGCAGAAGCAATTTGTCTGCGGCATGAAATCATGCGGCCGCGAACCTCGGTTCCTTCCCATCCGTCGTTGAGTGGTTCACGTCGATCCCGATTTCGAAGCGATTTCGAAACGCTTAATAATCCTGCACGCGATATAGCTCTCCAACAACAATGGAGAAAGGGAACGTGCCTAATCACGAATGCGGAAGTTCCGATGAGAAGCGGCGTTATGGAAAGGAGCAGCCAGCACTCAGCTAGAGCGAAGTTCCGCAACAATTCATCCGGCTGCAACATGAAGGAGCGAAAGCGGACCAGACCAGACTTGGCGAGAGGTAGACGCTTCAAACAGAGATATTGCTCTCCCCGTGAATGACAACGTGAAATTTTATTAGGAAGATATATCGTGCGTATTATTAATTACGAATGTATGAACTTAGCAAATGCGAGCGTTGTGTCGACACACGTGTTATTATATTTGTCCGGTATAGGTGCAACTGTTTCATTATAGCTTTATTAATTATATGAGATACATACACGTGTGCGAAATTAATTAATTTTTAATCACGCTGTGGAAGCTCAAATTGGAATCTCTGATCTAAATGTACTTTAAATAATCATATTTGTAATTTGTGTTTTGTTGCTGCGTTATTTGCACAAGTAATTGCGAGCTAAAAAGCGTTCTGGGTTCTGGGTCAAGAGAAGATCCATCGAAAAATTAACTGTATGTTTCCATTTGTACTCTGGGTCAAGAGAAAATCCATCGAAAAAATTAACTATGTTTCCATTTGTACTCTCTTGGTTTCTATACAAGGTGTTTTTAAATAAATGCAAAAAATATTAGAAGATGAGTCTTTGTCGAAATTTATAAGAGAGCTTTCTCATATAAACATGTACTCCTATATTTCTCTTTGTTACACTCCTCTAAAGGAGAAAGTACATATTAAGTTTTAATATTTTTTTCTTGAAAACTATTGACTTTACGAAAAAAATAAAAGAAAAAAGTTTGTAAATAAATTAAGCTTTCTAACGCATATTTTAGATGATCATATTTCGGTCCCTTAAAAGTTCTAATAAAAAATTGAATAGAAGTTGTTAATTTCATTCCCTTATAACGGGAAAATTTAAAAAAATATTAATAAATATTCTTTTCACTAGCGAAAAATATCCACCAAATTTCATTTTCTAACTTGTCCAAAATTGAAAAAAAAATTTTCATCTTTTCTCTTTTAAAATAGTGTAACTTCTCAGAGGGAAAGATGTAAAAATATTTATACGAAAATTTAATATTTATAATTTATATTTATAATTATTATATTTATGAAAAATCCTTAATATTTGACAAAAAATTATCTCCTAAACTTTTTCGCGTTTTTTTAGAAACACCCTGCATATCGAATAATAAATCAATAGAAACAAATATAAACATTTTCGATCGTGTTTCATCGGAAATATTTATAGCCAAGAGAATTTCTTCCGTGAATTTTTACTGTAAGCTATACTGCATTTGGCATTTCGTGCGAATGGTCGAATGATCAATAACTTTATCGGATCGATGATGGAATCTGGATTCTCGATAACATTATGTATAAAATATAGGCGTAGCTGGTGAACCGCGGATGCCAGCCACGGATCAGCCGCGGTTAAGCTCGACCACGTAAAAGGTTCCATTTAAATATATGGTCCCTCTCGCTGGTGAGCAGGCAATGAAAAATTTTCGCCATTTGCGACACGTTCTCTCCTCCTCGTTACCCCGCGATCAAAGCTATTATATAAGTACACGCGTGCGGGATTAAAAAGTACATATATAAATATCAAATCATGTTCTCTCCTCTAATTAGCGTTTTAAATTATCCCTCAGCCTCTCTTTTTCTCTTCGGGATTGTAGCATATTTAATTAAGCGGTTCGTTTATTACACCTCATCGGCGACGATTGATAATTGGCTAATTAACCGTTTCTCTCTCCCCATGTGCGCGCGCGTATAGATTTTTTTTAATTAATTTAAAATATGCTACATCTCTTCATTATCTGCCTTCATAGAAAAATGTAATAAAAATCATATCAACAAAAAAGAAAAAGGGAGATGATATGATGCATATGTTACATGTTTAATGACTTGTTACATAATTTATTACGAAACGCAAAGAGAATGAAAAAAGGCGCGCATTCATCCGTGACTTTTTTTCTTTATCGCGGAAAGAAAATTACACTAGTTTACAAAAAAGAAATATTTTTGTATTATTTGGAATCATAAGGTCTTTCTCATTGATTTTTGTATGCTGAAGACGATGTCGCAAGCTGATTTTCAGCAACACGTTAGATTTTCGGAATAATTGAGGTTTAATATGCAAAAAATAGTTTATTGCAATATTAAAATTTTTTTTTAAAAAAGATCTTTTTATTTTGAATTTCTGATCAGAAGTCATGACTGTATCTTTTATCCCTTATCAAATTTAATTTTATCATTTTTTTATTTCGACATCTTAATTTTTAGCCATATATATAGGAAGAATTTAAATATAAAATTTTGTTGTTAATATAATAAAATTTGTAGTTTAAGTCTATCAATACACATGGACAATTTAACTTATCGCAATAGATTAAATGTATATTTATATATACAAGGTCTCATTTTAATTGCCTATGTTTTTCGAAACAGATGCATTTTCAAACAAATGTTCCAGACAAAAATTGTATAATCTAAAAAGGGACAAATTATAGTAAAATCAATTTTTGACAAAATAAATTTTTTTCAAAAACCTATTTTCTTCAGGAACATATCCAACGTGGCTAAAATAATAAAAGTGCATCTTATAGGGTCCAAACAATATATTCATGACATCTGATCACACCTTCCAAATAACCTATTTTACAAAAAAATCTCAAATATCTCAAAAAGCCATTTTTTACATTAAAGCTGAATTATTTTGGAAATCGGATATTTTAGCTAAAAATTTATGACACTTTATCTGATTTAACCCTTAACTGGTATCGCGTGGGGTCATTTGAGACTCCAACATAAAATCCTTTCTCAATAGTGGGATATTATATTTTTATGGTTATTTATTTGATTAAATAAAACAACACACTTCTCCAAAGACATCAATTAATCATATCAGTCATTTATTAATGTGTTGTTAATAATTACATAATTTTTCTAAAATCTTTATAAAAAAATTAACATAAGTTTTTACACCTGTTGGGTCATTTTTGACCCCACGATACCAGTTAAGGGTTAAAATAATTTTCAGCTGAAATCTACTATTATTATAGGTAAACCGACTCGATTTGGTGTTCACAGATGAGAATAAAAATATATTTAATTGTAGATATTTCACCAAAATTATAACGTTATTCTAAAAGCAATTAATCTCACATCAGTTGCAATAATCTCGCCTGACAATTTTAGATTCCGCGATTCCGTGTATTTAACTTTCATCGCGCCGACTGCGAGTGAACACTCGCGGGATATTTGCAAGGAAAATATCACTCGCGCCACGTCACAACCTCCCGCAGCATCAAATATAACTGGCAAATCATAGCGCGGTAGGAAGGATTTAACTTCGCAGCCAGAGATAAAAACTGATGGCGTGCCCCGAGCATTATTGCGACGCGAACGGGAAAAACTACGTGTCGCATGACACATTCTTCGTATATTCCCCTCCTTTCTCTCTCACTTTCGCTTATTTTTATCAAGAACCCCGACGTGCAAAAATAAATTGGATATATATTGTACTACTCTGTTTCTGCTCTGCAAAATGTTTTGTCGTCGCGACAGATGGAGACGCCGCGAATTTTCACGCGGCAAAATTATTAACATCGTGAAATATAACCCGGCGGTATATACTTTACAGCGAACATATACATATATCTAAGCGATAAAAAATATACTTTGTACGTGTCGCTGAAACTCTTAAGTTCCCCCTTTTCTTTACTCGTTCGTCTTTCTCTGTTTAGCATTTTAAGAAACGCAATTTACATCGTATTCGTGATATTACGCAATGTTTATGTCATTGCGGAGGGATGCATCGCCTGCATAGATGCAACTTGCAATATTATTGGAATTGCGGCAACATGCAAACAACGGCTTCTCTTTTTCCCGCGTATTTTAACGCGCGAGAGAATTCGGGCTGATACTTGTTCGGGTATAGCACATAGAATTTGTTGTATACAATATATATGTATCTGTGTGTATCGAATTTCCGAGCGAAAGCATTACTCGAAAGATTGATCGTACCTATTTGGCCGAAACCAAATTACACTTCTATCTTACCAGTTATTTCGCGTTCACGGTTAGTCTGGTTTATTTATGACTATCGCGATAAATAATTAGCTCCCTAGTAATAAAGCGCAAGTTTTTTATCGTACGAGAAATCATCAATATCGTTCAAGAAAAAAAGTTGGTGAAAGGGCGAATACTTTGTGCCTCGCAGAAAAAATTGATACATTGGGAAAATATTATAAATATATATGATATTTTAAATCGGCCAATAGAGCCCAAGCGCAAAAAATTAATTCTTCGGAACTGTATCTCTTGGTTTGAGATTACTAACAAGTTCCATCTATAAATTAATCTCAAACTTACATATAAAAAAAAGAAAAAATTATTTCTCATTTGATTATAAATATACTCTTTTTAATATTATAAATATACTCTTTGTGGATTTATGAAGATCTAAGCAAATTAGTTTTTAAATTCAGCGGTAAAAACAAGATGAAATTTCTTATGAGATAGCACTTTAATATTAAAAATATACTCACGCTAAAGGGTATCAATGAATTTTTCACGGAAGGAATCATCCATTGTTGGAAAAGCGACATCACCACTTGGCTTCCTACAACGACTTCCAATATTCGTTTTATAAGGAACCTGTAAATTAAATGACACGTCGATGATCAAAGGGAATATTTTAATTAATTATATTAATATAAAATAAAATTCAATGGTCAAAATATGCATATGTATATGTATGTTGTATGTGTACAGAGTGCTTCTAAATAAGTGCGAAAAATTCTAGGAGATAATTCTACAATTCTTTGTCGAAAATGAAAACTCCTATATCTTTCTTTCAAAGGGGAGGATATAAAAATTACGTTTATTTTTTTTTCTTAAATTTTAGACAAGTTAAATGAAATTTGATGGATATTTTCTACTAATAAAAAGGATACTTATTAATATTTTTTTAATTTTCCTGTATCATCATAGAATAATGAAATTAGCAACTCCTAATCAATTTTTTATTAAAACTTTTTTACGAGTCAGAATGTGATCATATAAAAATATGTAGGATTTAGAAAGCTTGATTCTTTTAAAAATCTTTTATTTCTTTTATTTTGTTATAAAATCAATAATTTTCAAGAAAAAAAAACCTAATTTTCATCTCCTTCTTTGAAAAAGTATAATTGCTTAAGGGAGAGATATAAGAGTATATATTTATATGAAAAACTTCCTTTAATTTTTGACAAAGAATCCTCTTAAAATTTTTCGCACTTATTTAAAATTATCCTGTACATGTGTACATATAGTTTTATTTAATTTCAACTATATTTAAATTTAATCTTAACTAAATTTAAATTTTGTGAAAAAAATTTGTATATATAAATTTCAAATTCTCTTTGTGTTTTAATAATGAAATATCATATTTATATACCATTAAAAAAGATAATACATTTTTACCACTTTTACATCTAGATATACATGTATTTCTGCCATTACGCGGCGAACGCGCAGATGTACCTTTTATCGGATTTATCGGCCGTCCGACCTAATTCGTTTCCACGTGATTCGATTACATTGATCATTACGCGACACCAGTACACATCTATTTGCTCTCAGATTTTATCGATGGCGCAAACCGATTTCCGGCCAACCCCCATGAATTTCCACCCCCATTCTCGTTACCATCCTATTCGCCCGTTCTCTCTCTCTCTCTCTCTCTCTCTCTCTCTCTCTCTCTCTCTCTCTCTCTCTCTCTCTCTCTCTCTCTGGACCATATACCGATTCTCGAAAAATTGAAAATACGACTTTTGAGTGCTGTCGCGTGAAACGACGCTCCCATTCGATGGCACGTCGTCCGCGCGAGTTTCGTTTCCGGTAAACTGCCGGCGACAAGCAAAGTCTGGATGCACTTTTCGATGAACGCAACTGCACGGAAAGCACACTGCCGCGCCGCACAAAAGGGAAAAGCGAGCTGTAAAAACCGGTAAGGATGGCGATACGATGGTCGGAAGAACGAAACTTGAAAAAAGATGTGACGCGCGGATTTATTAAATCTGCGATTTAAATATAGGTATATCATTTTTTCAAAGTAACATTCAGAGTGCATAATTAATATTACAGAAATAATCTAAATCGAAATTTAATTGTCATAAATATATATATAACTGACAGTGTTGAACTTATAATTTAAAATTAGCTAGATAGAGATGAGATGAAAATGTGTTTTATCTTAGATAAGATGAAAATATATTATTTCGTTTTAAATATATCTAGATAAAATTATATGGCGATTCATCTAGATAATGTTCTAGATAATAATTTTTAAGATTGCTTATGTAAACATAGTTATAAAAAAAATGTAAATTATAAAAGAGATATAAAAATATATATTCTTTTATTTATAAGAGAATTTTTAAGAATCTTTTATTTATAAAAAGATATAAAAATATATTATTATACTATTATTTATAAATTTTTATCGTTTACTAATTCAAGTATTTTTATGTGCTGTATCATCCTAAACCAAATTATCTGAACATTATTTTAGATAATTTAATAAAGATAACACTTTCCATATAGATAATAAAAATATGTATTATCTCTCTATATAAAGGTAGGACTCTATATAAAGATGACGCCAAAATTTTATCTAGATAATTATTTATATAATTTTATTCATAACAGCAAACACTGATAACTGGATATGTATGTAAAGATATTCAATATTAAATTCCTCATTCACATATTTTATAATAATTTAAGTTTTATATATTTATTTCGCATTATTATCGTAATCATAATACCGTAACATTGCTCAAATTGCTAATTATATTTTAATATTAAATATGAAAATTGAAATTAAGCAAGTAACGTAACATTTTTTTACCGGAGGTTCATAAACAGATCTTTTTTGAGCCACATTTCTAATTAAATTATATTAATAAAATATAAATAACAACACATGATACATTCAAATAAAATTTTTGCACACAGCACCGATATAAAATTTTAAACTTCTTTCAATTTCGACTCTCACAAATAATTTACGTTCTCGATAAAATGACAAAGAATCCTCAAAATTTTCTTCCCGGAGTTTAAGAATTCGTTTGCAGGAATCCGGAGTTTCGTAAACCAGTGACTTTGGCATCTGTTGACATTCTTTAACAAAACGAAAATAAGACGTAAAAGAGAGAGAGAACCCCGTACGGGGTTACACCACGGCGAAATGTATATACGAGAAATCTGAGAGAGCAAACACGGATTTATACGCCTCACGCAATGTATGCACTCGCGTGACCCAACTCAGACAATATCAAGTTTCCACTCGACCTGCCTCCCGATCGAAGGCGAATCCGTAGTAGGATTCTTGAAAACATATGTAAACTGAAATAAGACTATATTGCTTTGTGTGAGAGGTGCAAGTCGAATAGAGAGGGAAGCCTATCTCGTGTAACTTTTTTCAAAATATTTTCGTTTTCCAGCCATCTCCGAAACGATTGGCAAAAATTCGCAAAAAAAAAAAAAAATTAATCCTATAAGACTATATATATATATATACAGGGATATTTTATTTTATAATTATTAAAACCATTAAGGGGACCATAACTGGTTTACCGACTTTGAGTTCAAGGGCTTTTCTTTTTATTGACTATTTTGCTTTTTATTGGCTAGATTGAAAAATCCTTCTTCACAATTAAAGTACTGATAATAATAAACGGGGAGCGCTGTAAATTCGTATAAAAAACAATAAAAGTTACAAAATTATAGTTTTTTATCTTGCATCAGTTCATAACATAACTTATTTAGTACAAAAATTCTGCAGTTTATTTGTGCACAAAATATGGCCAATAGAGATGACATGAAAAATAATACAGAAATAATAAAAATGAGATTAAAAGCCTGTATCAAAAGATTCGTAATTGTATTAATTATGTATATTTGCGTGCGGAATCGAAGTCAAGGCATGAAACAGCAAAAATTAATTGCCAGACAGCGCTCCCTATTTATCATTATCAGTACTTTCATTGTAGAGGATTTTTCAGTCTGTATATTCAATAAAAAGTGAACCTAATCTAACTTAAAGTCGGTAAAACAGAACTACGGCAGCATCTCGCGTTTCCGATTAAAATCTGTTGATTTTATTCTAAATAAAAATTGAGGGATACTTCTTTTTAACTGCACTAGTTCAAAATTTATCCTTTTTACTTCACATTTTGGAACAAAAAAGATAAACTAATTAAAATCACTCACCTCTTACGAATCCGTTGCGTTCTAGGAAAGTTCAGTTCATAGCACAAAGTAGGCGCCAATATGTAGTAATAAAGATCGCCGAGGTTTAAGTTGTCAGGATATTGTACCAATGCATTTCCGTGATCGCTTCTTTGCTCAAAGTCGTTGACATCACTTGTACTTTGTTTGATGCTGGAAGCTGCGACAGAAAAATCATATTTTCGTCATTTTTTAAATTGTCATTGACCACAAAAGCGACCAAAAACTTGCACATTACTTCCTCGCCATTCTATTTCGCTCATTAAGCAATGTCTGTATATGCTTTAATTTTTGTAAATTTCAAAATATCGAACTTATCGAAAATATTAATAATTTAAGAATAATTAATATTGAATTTGGAATGATTTGATGCAATATGGTTTATTTTTGATAAAATTTTGAATTTTTTAAATGTAAATTTTGAAATATCCTGAATAAAATATTATTTAAAAAATATTGTGCAAATGAAAATTTGCACATTGCTTCCTCATCTTATATTACTAATTAGGATGGTTTTTCAATTATGACTTCCTCACAGAGGAAGCTTAATTTGCACGTTACCGTAATTTAAAAACTTTCTTAATGAGCGAAATTGAATTGTGATCAAGCAATGTGGAAGTTAGCTTTTTCTATGAGAAAGCCATAATTGAAAAACCATTCTAATTAGTGAAATAATATAGTGAGGAAGCAATGTGCAAATTTCCATTTGCACAATTTTTTAAAATTGTTATTGCTCAAAAGCGAAACAAATTATTCATAATATTATAAATCAAAACTGTCTCTTAATTGCTTTTACTACAAAATAAATAAATAAATAAAAATAAAAAATTTGTTTTTCATAAATAAATATGCAGCAATGGCTGAGTGAGAGAGAAAGATAAAAAAAAGACAGAGTCAAAAACCAAATGAATAGACGCTTGCAAAGAAACTTTTCCGTTTAGAGGCAAAGGATAAAAAGCACAAAAAATATTAGACTAAATCTTAAGTATCTAACAATAAGAAGAAAATACTTAGAGGATTGACGTTCTAAAACGCTCGCTCGATCTGTTAAAAATTGAAACAAGGATTCCTAGGGAAACTTTTCCAGCAAAGAAGAAAAGAAAAAAAATCACAGCTACACGTTTTCTTTCGCCTCTCCCTCGAGTCCCTCTCAGCCGGTCCTTAAACAACAAAACCGAACCGCTCGCGCGATTTCCTCGGTCGGGAAGCTCGGAATTCCTCAGCGCCGCGCTAAGCACGCGGATTCCCATCTGCGCGTCTAATCCCACTCCGACGCGTAACTGATAGAATCCCCTCAATTATCCAAATCCGATGAATAATCCAATCTGGAATTCAAATAAGCCCGGGGTGCGCCGACTGCCTAGTTCCACGACGGCGACCCGAACAGAGGGAGGTTGCGCCTCGTTGCTGCTCTCGTACCTACCTCGACAGTCTCTCCGGTTGCGTCGCGACATCGAGGGAGGATTTTGCGCTACTCGCGGCTCGTTCTCCGCGACACCGATCGACGTCCACGTCGTCGACGACCGAGCGTCGTCCCGACCGACGTCGTTCTCCAACATCCCTACGTAATAAATGTAGAAGAATTCGAGCAAATTAAATTCCTCGTGCAGCCCCCCATCCATTTACTTCGTCGTCGAGTTCCACTTTTCCTCTTCGTCCTTTGAATAGCGAAATAAACGTTGCTCCTTCCTTCCTTATTTCCTTTCTCTTATTTTTCCTTCGGAGATCCGCTGTCGCGCGCGACAGAACGAAAAAAATTCTCTTACAAAAATGTCTGTCCAAGACAAGACGACATTTCGCGCGTCAGCTGTTCGCGCGATTGTTCACCGACATTTCTCGAGTAATGAAAAATAAGATTATAAAATTAGGTTCTTATAATCGTTCTTAATACGAAAATAAGATTTTTAATAATTGTGTAGTATTTATATTTATCTATATATTTATATTTATGAGGGTGATTTGAAATGATTCTTTCGAAAATTAAAGGAGATCTTTCATCTAAACGAATTCCTATATCCCTCACTGAGGAATTACACTCTTTCAAAAAGGAAGATGAAAATTAGGTCTTTATTTTTTCTAAAATTTTGTTTTCGTTCTATTTTTTCCAATATTTACTATAATCTTGTTTCGCTTGTTTTTTTTTTTTTTTACTCTAAAATTCTACTTCTCGTAACTCGAAGCCGACAAACCTTGTTGTGCATGATGATGTATTTTATTTTATTTTTTTTTGTAAACTATTGATTTTACAAAAAAAAATAAAATAAATAAAAAAAGTTTATAAAAAATCAAGTTTTTTAAATGCATATATATTTTTAGACAATCACATTCCGATTTCGTTAAAAAGTTTTAATAAAAATTGAATAGGGGTTGCTAATTCCAACCCTCTAGAACGATAGAAAAGATTTTTAAAAAATTTTGTTTTTTATTAGTTGAAAATATCCAAGTTTAATTTTTTTTAATTTGTCTAAAATGTGGAAAAAAATAAAACCCTAACTTTCACCTCTCCTTTGGAAGAATGAAAATTTTCAGAGAAATATATAAAAATAAATATTTATATATATAAAAGACTTTAACTTTTGACAAAAATCATCTTCTAAAATATTTCGCATTTATTTAGAATCACTCTGTATATTATTACAATCGCGTGTTGCAATTATAATATTGTGATAAAATTACAGATAAATGTAAACAACTGTAAAGAAAACATCTCGAGTGAAACATACTCTGAATTGCATACACTTGGCGGTAGAAATAATAAAATTGTAATGTAATTTCGGCGAACGTCCAAATAAACACAGTTAGCGAGTGGTGCACAATCGCGTGGAAGCACTCGAAAACGGTTTAATGATTCGTTAATGTTCCACGTAAATTCGTTTCATCAAGCCTGTGATCTTCGGCCACCACATACAAGTAAACCCTCACTTTCTCTCTTCATTGGCGGATTATTCATTACAAACCGTTCTCTCGGCTTACACAGACTGCTTGTATTTATTCGGATTTATTTCCGGTTGATCAAATTATACATATAAATGCTTGAGTCTTTTACCAATTTTCACCGACATGCGGAATTACAAATTGAAATTATTAATATCACCAGTGTTGTGTTTAGATGATTTAAAAATTATGTAGATAAAGATAAGATAAAAATATATTAATTTATTTTTGATAAGATAAAGATGATTTTGAATTTAAATGTATTTAGATAAAAGATGAGCACAGTTATACAAAAATGTAAATTATAAAAGAAATTTAAAAATATATTCATACTTTTATTTGTAAGTTTTTATCGCTTACTGCTTAAATTCTACTACTTAAGTATTTTTAACTATGACTCTACAGCAACTTATCTGAATATTATTCTAGATAATTTAGTAAAAATAACACTTTTTTTCATCTAGATGCAGATATAGATAATATATATTTTTATTATTTATATAAAGATAAGATGACGTCATAATTTCATCTAGAGGATCACGTATATAATTTTATTTAGATAACAACAAACACTGAATATCACGTGATTTGTAATGAAACTCGCTATGTAATAATAGTTTCAGATGATGGGAGATAACCACGTATCTCTTAACTTGCAGATAAATAAGATTACGATTTATAGCATGTACTAATTTAGTTAAGCCTAAAGCCAATTAAATTCTGCTTCATGTTTTAGATACATCTTGAGATTAAAAGATAATTGATATTATTCAGTGCTTTATTTAGTGTTTATGTGCTGATAGAATATGTCAGGGTGCTGTAACATGGCAGTCGGAATTTGGGAAAACGGAATATCGAAAAAGTACTAGAATAAAAGATCAACCAATCAGAATTATTTGCAGAAATTTGAACTTAACGTTTAATGAAAATTAACCGGGATTGAATTTTATCTCTATAAGAAGAATTATATTGTTAATAAAAATAATTGTTTGGTATTTATTAATATATATATATATATATATATATTCAATCAAAATATTTTAACACATAAAATAGTTATTATATTGTCACGAATAAAAGTCGCGTGTTTGTCGGTCCGGTTTTTTGTGACTGAGCTCCCCATGAACTAATATTTCGGAGCATTTCGAAAATTAGTAAAAATAGAAAAATTTATTTTGATAGTTTTTCGACAAAAAATAATTAATACAATAAAAAATATATAAAAAAGTGAAATTTGTATGTATTGTTTATTATAATAGAAAATAATAAAAAAATTTTCTAAATTAAAAAACAATTTGATATTAAAATAACATTCCGTTTTCCATAAAAATCATTCCATGAGGAGCGAGGCTTATTCTAGTACTTTTCCGAGATTCCGTTTTCCGAAATTCCGACTGCCATGTGTCAGCACCCTCAGATCTAAGGAAATGTTTCTTTATTCGTAACGAGATAAACTTTATTTTGTAATAGATTCATGCAATGAAGTAGCTTTTTATCTTAATATAGTTTGAGAGATGACTTGAGACCGCATCGTAACGCGTCCTTGTACTATAATGTGCCAAATCAATAGTACACCGACGTACAATGCACAGCAATAATTATACTCTGTATACATGTGTAAATTAGTATCAAGTGAGCAATCAAGTGTCTTCAGTAACGTCGCTAATCGAATCATCATTGCGTTCGCGCAACAGCTTGTGCCGCAAATTTGAGCGCAATAAATAACGAAATATATACAACATTTAACACTTGTATGTATAATGTACAGGATGTATCTAAAAAGTGCGAAAAATTTTAGAAGATTATTCTCTGTCGAAAATTAAGGGGTTTTCTTATGTAAACATATACTCTTACATTTCTCTCTAAGAAGTTACACTTTTCTAAAGAAAAAGGTAAAAATTAAGTTTTTATTTTTTTTCTCAAATTCAGACAAATTAAAAAATGAAACTTGGTGGATAGTTTCCGTTTCATTTTTTTAATTTTATCTCCTGAAATTTCTCGCACTTTTTTAGATACACCCTGTATCATTTATTAATTATAAGTAAAAACAAAGAGGATTAGAACAAAATTTAGTATATAAAAAGGCCAACTAATCGAGCATTATTAGATGATATAAACTAAGTATTTATTCTATATAAGATAATACAGTACAAACGTTTCGACCGACACGCGGTCTTCTTCAGTATAGGATTTAAAAGTAGATGATTATAAGTGATTGTAAGTCGCAATTTTATCGCCGAATTAGTGCATGTCGTGTTAAGTCAAATTACAAAACATCAGTATATTTCTTACGGATTGATCGCTCTATTGAGCTCTAATAATGCTCGATTAGTTGGCCTTTTTATATACTAAATTTTGTTTTAATCAATAAACGAGCGAATACACGTTTTTAAAAGAAGATTAGGCCTGACAAGAGAGCAGAATACGCGTAGGTGCGTGTTTAAAAATTTATGACATTGTGACGAAGGGGTCAATCCTGCGATCTCCGATTGCGTAAGATCCACCTATCTGTGCTCTCGAGTCTCCTTTGCGGTTACTATCACGTTCGTGGATAGTCGCAGAAGGGTGGAAGAAGATCCGGAACTCTCGGCGGTTGATGCTCGGGAGGTGGAGGAATTCTCGTGGGGACGAATCGAGCGAGCTTCCGTTCGCGACGGGTGTAATTTCTATTTTTTTCAATCTCGGCCCGGAGGGCGTCTCGAGGGCCGATGTAATTTCGCCTTTTGTGCCAAGGGATGCCTCGCGTTTAAGACCTACCCTCGTTCATATATCTCGAAACTGGCGCGGCGGACGACGAGCGACGACTTCGGCGAAAAAAGGGGATCGATATCGAAGACCTCGAGCCAGAGGTAACCTGCTATGTGTGTGGAGGAAGAGGTAGCAACCTTACGAGAACGAGCCGAGCTGAGTGAGAAGTCTCACAAATTAAGCACCGGCATCGCGCGCCGAAAAAGGAAGACGAGGAAGAGGAAGAAGAGACCTTCGCCTTCGGTTCGAGAGACACGATTGCCCGCGATCCTTGATCACGCAATACTGCAGACTCGTAAATTGTCTTGCATCCTCGACGCGACGCGGAACGACGTCGAACATCCATTTTTCCAGCAACTCGCTCTATAGTCTACAGTACTTGCTGTTGTCTAAATAAAATTATATAGATGATCTAGTTTCATCTTTTTAATTTGTCTGAAATTTGAGAAAAAAATTAAAACTTAATTTTTACCTTCTTCTTTAGAAAAGTGTAACTCCTCAGGCAGGGATATAAAAGTATATATTTATATTAGAAATTTTACCGCCCTTAATTTTCGACAGAGAATACTTTTACATAAATAAAAGTACGAATATATTTTATATCTCTTTTATAAGTTATATTTTCTTATAACTGTGTTCTAGATATATTTTATCTGTTATCTAGATATATTTAAATTCAAAATCATCATCATCTTATCTAATTGTAAGATAAATTTATATATTTCCCATTTCATCTAGATTAATTTTAAAATCATCTATAAGCACAACACTGATAGTCTACTATTCTCTTAAGTGTGCCGGTTTCCTTTTATTTTTCTAGCTTTATTCCACCAGCTTTCTGAATAGCATTTTACCCTCATGTCCGATCAGAGAAATATCAGTTTACCTTTTATTCACATCTCCCCTCCTTCCTTCCATTCACTAAAAAGTTACAACATTAAAGTAATCGTAGATCGATTTTCCGAGGAAGAATCCGATGTATGCACATTATTTAAAGTACAAGAGATATAAACTTTTGTGCGGACGTACCGAGGAGAGAGAATAAAGGAGAAGTTTCTAGCTGCTTCTTCTTCTTCTTCTTCTTCGTAAGAAAAGCGAGAGCTTCCGAAGCTTCATTTCTTGCATGATCGATCGAGTCGAGTGACGGACAAAAACCTACCTAACCTAGCTGCGTATACGCATTGCGAAACGCCTTCGCATATACTTTCCATAACCATAAACATAACGTAAGAATTCGACCAATCACGTTGCTCGATTCGGCTGTCCGTAACCGTAGCTGTAAAAATCGAGCAACGCTATTGGTCAAATCCTTACGTTACGGTTATAAAAATTTATCTGCGAAGGCCTGAAGAGTGCCCCACCTTCGCGATGCGTATACACGGTTAGGTTAGATAGGTTGTCGGCTGGTTCTACGTCATCATTACGTCCCGTAATAATACGACGCGCCCGATAGGAACCCGAGTTAGGCGGAGAGGGCGAAAATTACACGGCGTCCGCGTGCTAGATTACACGAAGCTCGTGATCGTAATAACGGAGTCCCGCGAGCGGGCTTTTGTCGATTGCATTTGTCCGTATCGATCGATCGCATATCGGGTCGGTCGCCGCGCGATGAGCGCCGAAGCGTCGCGGACTCGCAATTAATTATATCAAACTACTACGTCACTTTTACCCACCGCCGCGCCGCCTGTAATTAGGACACACTCGCGCCTCCTCGACGAGAGGAGAGGACGACGAGGATCAGCCGAGCGGATAACGGGCTAATTAGCTGCGAATGAAACACCGAATGAATGCACGTATCGGAGGAATATATCTGTCTTGATTTTCGATGCGGAGAGAGAGAGAAAATCCTGGATGTGTGTTGGCGAGCGTCAAATTTAGAGGAAGGTTGGAAGTTGTAAATGACGCGTTCATGAGAAAATTCTCGCTTCGATGAAGCGTAAACACCTTGCTTATCGCGCACTCGTATTTTTGTAATCAACGGTGTACATATCTGCATATGGAAACTCGTTTTTTCTCGTATATTCAAAAATACCAAAAAGTTTTAATAAACATTTTTTGTTTGAAAATTAATGTAGAGCGTGCGCCGAGAAATAAAAAAATTCGAAAAGTAAAATGTAAAAGTGTAAAAAAATTTAAGGAGATGATTCGAAAATTAAGAAGAATCTTTCATATAAACAGGTATACTCCTATTTTTCTCTCTGAATAATTAGGGGTACGTCTTGTAAAAAGGAAAGTAAATTAGGTTTATATTATTTTTTTTTAATTTTAGACAAGTTGAAAAATGAAATTTGGGCAGTTTCTACTAATAAAAAAGATATTTATTAATATTATTTTAAAAAATTTGTTTGTCATTTTAAAGAAATGAAACTAGCAACTCCTATTTAATTTTTACTTTTTTTATTAAAATTTTTTTTAACAGATTGGAATGTGATCATCTAAAAATATGCATTAGAAGGTTTAATTCCTTTAGAAACTTTTTTATTAAAGTCAATAGTTTATAAGAAAAAAATTAAAATACATTCATGCACAGTACGATGCTAAATGATAAAGGTTTTGAGTTACAAAAAATTGAATTTTAAAATAAAAAAGCAAGCAAGATAAAATTATAGTAAATGGTGGAAAAAATGGAACAAAAATTTGAAAAAAAATCAATTCTTCAGGGAAAGATATAGGAGTATATGCTAATATATAAAAGATCCCTTTAATTTTCGACCAAGGATCATCTCCTAAAATTTCTCTTATTTAGAATTACTCTACATCTCTGTTTTGATGATCAAATTCTTAATAAAATTTTTTCCCGCGTTATGTATTCTTGTGCAAAACAAGTCTCACATCGTGACATCGTATAAATCATCGTGCGTTGACCTAAACGCGATCCGAATCCATTCGACATACGCGCCAATCAACTGCGTCACGTCGGGATGTGCGGATCGATCGGTTGCGCAATCACGATTAAAAGTGCAAACGTACCAGCTCGCTGCTTTAATGTCGCTACGTGGTTACGAAGAAGACAGAGGGTAGCGCGAAGAAGGGTTAATCCTCGGCGCGGTGAGTTTATCGGGAAAAGAGACCCCGATTTATACAATTTGACTTTGTCGATCGCATTTGAATAATCGATACCGACCACCAGGTGCGTCTATCACCGGAAACACAGGCGGACCCGAGAGATCGCCGGCTTAAATTAGGTGAAAATTATTTCCCTCTACTCTACATTCCGTGTGTGCATACATACATGTATGTCTAGGTATATACAGTATTTGCTATTATTTAAATAAAATTATATAGATGATCATCTAAATGAAATTTTGACATTATATACAGTATTTGCTATTATTTAAATAAAATTATATAGATAATCATCTAAATGAAATTTTGACATTATATACAGTATTTGCTATTATCTAAATAAAATTATATAGATAATCATCTAGATGAAATTTTGACATTATTTTATCTTTATATAGATAATAAAAATAAAAATATGTATTATCTATAGCTGCATCTTCGATAAAAAAAAGTGTTATCTTTACTAAATTATTTAGAATAATGTTCAGATAATTTGCCTTAGAGTCATATAAAAATATTTAAATAGTATAGAACTTAAGCAGTAAAACAAATAAAAGTATGAATATATTTGTTTATATCCCTCTTATAATTTACATTTTTTTATAACAGTGTATACATAAGCGATTTTAAAAATAATATTATGTGGAAGTTATTTAGATGAATCGCTATATAATTTTACCACACACATATCTTTCAATTAACCATAGTTATAATGAAATTCCCTCTATTTAAAATAATTTAATTATTAAATTAATTTTTTCTTAATAATAATTATTTAATATTTAATTTTAATAAATTTTTCTAATACTTTCTAGAAATCTTTTATTTTAAAATTATTTTTAATATGGCAGATTTTAGTGCATTATTGGATTTAAACCCCAAATAAATTTTTTTTTTTTAATTAAAAATTAATACTCAAATTCTCCAATTTATGATATAATAATCTTTTTTAATGATTTTACGATAATAATTTTAACTTTTATCTAGATATATTTAAATTCAAAATAACCTTCACTTTATCTAAACGAATTTACATATTTTCATCTCAGCTTTATCTAGATAATTTTAAAATCATTTTAGCACAACACTAAGTATATACACTCGCGCAATCAGGCGCACACATAAACGAATAAAGCATATATACATATACACATATGTCGTATGCCACGACGATGTCATATGTGCTCGCGCCTTCAGGAACGTGTAAATACCGCGAACGCAGTGGATTACCGATTCGTATGACGTGTGTGTTTGCACTACTTGGATGTATGCATTATCTGTAAGCGCAAATGCACGTAACGATGCTCGTAACGTCGAAGATTTACGCCCCGTCGAAGACTTCCTCGCAAGCAAAGATCCTGGTTAAGTACGACTCTCTAACGGCTTCGATGAAATGTATTACAGATTCATAGCGTCGTAAAAAAAAGACAGAAACATACGATATGCTACGTAAAAAAATAGTCATTCGTATGCGCGGAAGCAACAGCGAATAGTATACGTAAAATAAATCGTAAAAATCGAGTACGCAAAAATGCCATAAGAAAGATTTTTCCATCTTTCTGTGTCTTCAGTCTTCTGATAAAAATTTATGTTGCAAATTTATGTTACACATGCATAGAACATATGCACGCATAGAACGCGTTAATATATGATGCTGGTAAAATATACCCCATAAAAAATTATAATACACAATATATATATTAGAACTTTTTATACTTACACTGAAGATTATTGCAGGACAACTGACGTCTCATTCTGCCTTGCGTGGTTTTCTTTCGGCTGCTCAAGCGGCACCACATGTTGACTTGTATGTAGGACCATAACTTTAAAAAGAGTATGGCGTACAGCATGCACACATACATCGCACCAACTGAAATAACAAACCGTAAAATAGTATTAGAAGCAAAATATGTTAAACATCATAAAATTAATACTTTTTTATTTTTAAATGTTTCATGCACACACATTCGTGCTGTGAATCTCGTCGCTTAAACTCCAGAGTGCGATATCCTATTTATATTTCTTCGCAGCAATATACATTTACACACAATCGCCATAACTTCTCACCTCTCCGCATACACAATTGTATGCTTATATAGTGAAAAAAGTGTTTTGAGAGCAGATAATATAATATTGATTAAAACAAGAGGTCTATAATTAATGTCTTTGATACAGATTATCTTTCTATTTGAACTTTGTGTTCTTTTCATATTGATCGTGTTACCTCTACAATGCAGTAGTAAACAAGAGTATAAAAAAGGGCAACAAAAAAACTTCATATTTGCCATTTCCCGTATGGAATAATAGGTTTCCATTACATATGTTCACTGATTAAACTACACACTCGAACAAAACATTACTCTTTTTAATGTAATCTCGTACTGGTACCTACAAATCCATTGTTATTATAACCCAATGTTATTGTAACATAACTGATAAACATTCTTTTGTTTGCACCATAGAGGTAAAACAATCAATAAGAATAGAATAAAAGAGCTCAAACATTGTTCAACAAAAACAAATTAACTGGAACGAGACTAGTCAATGTTGAATACGAACCTGGTTTTCAAATTACTCCACCACGTCATAATTTTGAAAAATGTTTAATTGAACTTCCAAAGAAGGACCTTTTTTTCACGAACTTTGTTATACCTACAATATGTTACCGAATAAATTTTAATTGTGTTTATTTAATTTTAAAAATTTTTTAAGTCACTGAAAAGTGTCAAAATTGTCAAATTCATTTAGTGTCAAAATTATCAAATTCAAAGTGGTAGACAAAATGGTAAAGAGGAATTTCTTCATTTTTACATTTTTCATATTAAGTACCACTTTAAATCTGTCAATTTCTGACATTGAATTCGTATTCAACGATCTAAAAAATTCTTAAAAGCTATTTAGTAAATCATCAACGACCTAATTGTAAGTCACAATTTCCGTAACACAGTTTATATTTAATATCATGGATATCTTTTTATCAATAACCAAATATTCCTGTTAGAATCAAAAGTTTTAACAATATACATACTTTATTTTGATTGCAACAAAACTTATCTAGCACGTCACATATTGTAGTTATAATATAACAAAGTTTGTAGAAATAGAACTTTTTGCAACTTTAATTAAAAATTTCTCAAAATTATGACGCGATGAAGCAATTTGAAAACCGCATTCCTATTCAGTATCCAAAAATCATAAGAAACGATTAGTTTCTCGTTCGGGTGTTCGAAAAAATTCATTTTTTGTTCAACAGTGAAATAGCAGAATAGCTTGTATCTTCGAAAGATATTAATTGTTAGGACCTATGTTAATTATACTCTTTTTTCAAAACTGTTGATCAATACTAAACATATAACTTTTTCTTTAACGCTCTGTATAACGATTCTTCCACATTTGCACACAAGTGAGCCTACTGCCACTTTAATCATCTATCCGATATTCCCGTTGCGATCCCGAGAATGTCCGCTATTATGAGGTGCCGGTAATAGCGTCGTTGGAAAACTGCCGAAGCTAGTGACGAAGGCGACGCCGGTACGATCCCCATATTTTCCGATATCCATCCAGAGCGTCGGGCCTCTTTCGCGCCTCATCCCGGATTGTTCGTATCTTAATTAAATCGCGTCTGCTACCCGAGAGCTATCCCGATCCGACGAGGTGACGAGATTCCGCACAGACGGAAGGACATAATTTCAATGGAACGAAACCATTCTTCTCTACCACCCTTTTACGCACCTCTCTACCTGTAACCGGACTCTCATTTACCTTGGATGCACCCTTTAGCGCAAGATTTATATACCCCTACTCGCGCTATACAGCACAGAAAAAACAGTATCCTTGAAAGAATGCAAATATGCCTTAATTCAAGTGTATTTTATCCTTATAATAGTGCCAAATATAAATAATTTTGGATAAAGGATAATTTATCCTTAAAACAAAGTGCAAAATATTATTGGTTGAAGCTAAAATTTACTTATAAATATTGCAAGGACAAGTGACAAGTGAGCATCGGATATAAGCGGTACTTTCAAGTATATATAATAATTCTTAGTTCAAATGTGACTAAGTTTGTTTTTACCATATGCGATTTTTAAAACAAGAATATATCTTAAAGATAAAATATACTTTACACAAACTTATTTATTATTAAGGCAAATGAAAATTTGTGATTACAAAGAGCATTCTATGCTTAAATCAATCAAATAGCGTTCAAGAATAAAAATATACTTGAATCAAGGATTCCTTTTTTTCTGTGAGGATGTCCAGAACTAGTAAACCTGTTAATGGCAGATTCCTGGGACTATTTGGAAATGATTTTTCTTCAACGAAAATGTCGAGACATCAATAATTTTCAAGTTATAAGCAATTGAAAATAAGAGGTTTTTTGCAAATTAAGTCTTGTGCAAATAAAATATTACATTCTTAAGTTAATTTCAGGTCAAATTTAATTTAAGGAGATCCTAAACGCCGTTATATTTTATCGATAAAACATCATTTTTGCGTACACTTTTCTTTTTATTGGTCAAATAGAATAATAAATGCTTTTCCACGATTAAAGTACATATAGACACGCGTCGACCTACCGATTTTATGTTAACAAAAAAATCTTTTAATTAAAAAATTAATTAAAAATCTTTTTTTGTTTCAATAATTGAGAGCTTGCAAAATATGATAACCTTCCTCTCGATATTTTCGCTGACGAAAAATTGTCTCCAAATAACCTTAGGAATTTCCTAACCTATTGACAAACTTACACTTATTAATTTTATAGAGTTTACTTTAATAGAATTTTAATTTAAGACTTAATTACGAAGATAAAAATTGGAACCATGCAAAAAATGATAGTCTCCCTCGACATTTTCGACTAAGAAAAAATCGTTCTCAAATGATCAGGAATCTGCCAGGCATACTATTAATTTTGGGACACCCTGTATTAATTCCTCAGGACACAAGAAGCGACAAAAGACTAGAATTCTACGAAATACTGATTGGGAGACGAAATTAAGCACCGCAGACGTGCAGATCGATCGGTGAGGAGCGAGTCGTCATTCACTTTGTCGAAATTAGTTTGCGGACTATCGAACAGGAAAATAACAGATAAACAGAACGTTGCTTATGTTATGTGTGCACAATGCAACAATCGGCGGCAGCGACGGTGCAAATCACAATCGTTGAAGCGATCGAAAGCGACAGCTCACCCTCCCATCCCCGGTCGCAAAATCGACGAGCAATAATGGGGAAACGAGAGAGAAAGAGAGAGAGAGAGAGAGAGAGAGAAAGAGAGAGAGAGAGAGAGAGAGAGAGAGAGAGAGAGAGAGAGAGAGAGAGAGAGAGAGAGAGAGCCCGAAGCAAATATTACACGACGATGGTATCGTTCGTTAATATATACACGCTCGTCGGCGATGCACGAAAGCGTCAAAGTACTTCTGCGAAATATGTGCCGCGTGTATTTGCCGCCCCCACAGGACCGCGGCACGCCAGCTAAACAGCTCTATTATACATCGCGAGGCAATAGGGACTATCCTCGGAGTGCACTCTGACGACGAGCCGCGTAGATATCCTCTCTGGTAGTTCCTCGCCCGTTTTTCCCGCTCTTTCCGCAAGATGTCGTTGTCGTAAAAACGAAAAATCTAGCTGATAGATGCAGTGTCCGGGTAAAGTGGGGAATCTAATAAAGTCGAAGTGTTTTCCTGGGGTCCATCGCGATCTTGTTCGACAACTGCCGAACCGCATTAGGCGTTCGACAGTCAAAACGCGTCCCGGGACGCGCGTTTTAGTGCGCCGTTTATGGCTTGTCGTCCACACGAGTATTTGCCTGGCGACGTATCGAGTGCTCGTACATGCCAAGGTAATTGCCAAATGTCGTGACGCGTATATATATATCTATATATATATGTATGCATACAGGGTGTTTCTAAATAATTGTGAAAAATTTGTGAAAAATTGTAGGAAATAATTCTTTGTCGAAAATTGAGAGAAATCTTAATCATATACTCCTATATCCTTCTTTAGGAAGTTACATTTTCCAAAGGGGAGTTGAAAATTAGGATTTTATATTTTTCTTGAAAACTATTACGAAAGAAATAAAAGAAATAAAAAAATTTCTAAAAGAATCAAGTTTCCTAACACATATTGGTAAATGATCACATTCCGGCCACTTAAAAAGTTTTAATAAAAAATTGAAGAAGGGTTTGTTAGTTTCAACCCCTTATAATGATACGGAAAGGTTAAAACAGATGTTAAGAAATATCCTTTTTACTTAATTATTATTTAAATAAATATCCTACTTATTAATAAATATTCTTCTTTATAATATATTTATTTAATATATATCCTTTTTACTAGTGGAAAACATTCACCTTATATTTTTTTTAATTTGTACAAAATTTGAGAAGAAAATTAAAAATTAATTTTTACCTCTTCTTTTGGAGAAGTGTCAGCTTCTTAGGAAGGGGTTAGAAAGGAGTATATGTTTATATATGAAAAACCCCTTAATTTTTGACAAAGAAATATTACCTCAAATTTTTCGCATTTAGAAAATCCCTGTTATTTAGAAACTTCCTGCATATATATATATATATATATGCGTGTGTGTGTGTGTGTGTGTGTATAAATCAGTTGCGGAACGAATCTACCGAGTGGAGACCGCAATCTAGTCCATCTCATTATCCTTGTAAAAAGAACTTCTAATACTGGTTAAGCGGAGCAAGGTCGAGTGAATCAGTCCCTTTGTTCCTTTACTTCTAAAAGAATGAGAGAAATGTGTTTTCTGAAAAATCCAAGTTCCTGAATTTTTCAAAGTTGACAGGCTAAAAAAAATATGATTAAATATATCATCCATTTTTTTAATATTGTCTCTTTTGTACGATATAT